CCCCCACGCGCCGGGGGGGCGGGGCCGGCCCGGGAGGGCTCGTCTGATTGGCTGAACCTGGGGATGACGATGAGGGGGGAGGGGTCAGAGGTGGGGGGAGGGGTCAGAGGTCAGGGGGAGGGGTCAGAGGTCAGGGGGAGGGGTCAGAGGAGGGGGAGGGGCTACACCAAGCCCCACCCCCTCCACACGCCCCTCCCCCATTTTTTACCTGTCCAATCCTCTTCCGGCGGCGGCTCCGCCCCGGGGCCTGCTGGGAGGGGGAGGGGCTGAGGCGGGGGAGGGGGTGAGGAGGGGGGGGGGGGGGAGGGGCCGGGGTGGGGGAGGGGCGTCACTCACGCTGTCCCACGCGCAGGGTGACGCGCATCGCCCGCGTCAGGCAGGCCCCGCCCTCCCGGTTCTCCAGACCCTCGGGGGTCCCGTCCGACGTGGCTGCGGGGGCGCGGTGACGTCATCGGTTACGTCATCGCGTCCGTGTGTGACGTCACTGCTCGGCCACGCCCCCCCCGTCCCCGCCCTCCTCGGTCATTTGAATCGTCTTCTGTGACGTCATCGCCCAACCCCCCCACTGACGTCATCACCCGTCCGTCAATGACGTCATCAGCGGTCCCCCCCGGTGACGTCATTGCCCGTCCCTCAATGACGTCATCAGCGGTCCCCCCCTGGTGACGTCATCGCCCGTCCCTCGATGACGTCATCGCCTGATCCCGGTGACGTCATCGCCCGTCCCTCAATGACGTCATCGCCTGATCCCGGTGACGTCACGGCCTCTAATCGGACTCTCGTTAACGAGCGGAGAGTTGGGGGAAATTTGGGTTCAAATTTTCAAATTCGGGTGAAAATTCCGGCGCAAATCTGGGATTAAATTCGAGCGAAATTTGGGCGCAAAATCAGAGAAAATTTGGGTGAAAATTTTGGGAAAAACTCGAGCGAAGTTTTCCAATTTCCATGAAAATTTGGGTTCGAATTTTCGAATTTGAGTGAAAAATTCCGGTGGAAATTCCGGCAAAAATTTTGGTAAAAATTTGGGGAAAATTTCGGTGAAAATTTGGGTTCAAATTTTCAAATTCCTGCGAAAATTTCGGTGAAAAATCTCAAATTTGAGGAAAATTCCAATGAAAATTCCAGTGAAAATTTGGGGAAAACCCGAGCCAAAATTTCCAATTTCCGTGAAAATCCGGCTCCAAATTTCTACCCAAAAAAAAAAGAAAAAAATCCCCAATAAAATTTAAAAAAACCCAAAAAAAACCCTCAACCCCCATCCCCCACTCCCCCTTTCACCCCTCCCCCCTTGATGACGTCATGGCTCACTTTGGGGAAAATTTGGATGAAAATTTGGATGAAAATTTGGCTTCAAATTTTCAAATTTCAGGAAAATTTCAATGAAAATTCCGGTGGAAAATTTGGGAGGAATTTCGGTGAAAATTTAGGGAAAATTTGGATGAAAATTTGGATGGAAATTTTTGATGAAAATTTGGGGAAAATTTGGATGAAAATTGGGATGAAAATTTGGGTCCGAATTTTCAAATTTGTGTGAAAATTCCTGCAAAGATTCCAGTGAAAATTCCAATGAAAATTTGGGGAAAACCCGAGCCAAAATTTCCAATTTCCGTGAAAATCCGGCTCCAAATTTCAACCCAAAAAAAAAGAAAAAAATCCCCAATAAAATTTAAAAAAACCCAAAAAAAACCCTCAACCCCCCTCCCCCACTCCCCCTTTCACCCCTCCCCCCTTGATGACGTCATGGCTCACTTTGGGGAAAATTTGGATGAGAATTTGGATGAAAATTTGGCTTCAAATTTTCAAATTTCAGGAAAATTTCAATGAAAATTCCGGTGGAAAATTTGGGAAAACCCGAGCCAAAATTTCCAATTTCCGTGAAAATCCGGCTCCAAATTCCCACCCCAAAAAAACAAAAAAAAACAAAAAAAAACAAAAAATCCCCAACCCCCCCTCCCCCACTCCCCCATTTAACCCCTCCCCCCTTGATGACGTCACGGCTCACTGATGATGTAATAATCGTGCTTCCGGCGGAACTCGTGGCCCCAGAGGTTGGGGCTGAACTCCTGGAATTTGATGGTGAAGCGAACGTCGCGCTGGGGGCGGTCGCAGGTGAGCAGCAGGGTGGGGGCGGGGGGCACCTGGCAGAGCCGGGCCTGGGCCACGCCCACCAGGTACAGCTTGTAATACTCGTAGGCTCCGCCCCCCGGGCACACCAGGTCCAGGCGGTCGCCGATTTGGGGGTACAGGACGTAACCCCCCGCCGCCAGGAAGCTGTGGGGGTGGGGAGGGGGTGTGACACACCTGGGGACACCTCTGTGACCCCTGTGTGACACCTGTGTGTGTGTGACACACCTGGGGACACCTCTGTGACCCCTGTGTGACACCTGTGTGTGTGTGACACACCTGGGGACACCTCTGTGACCCCTGTGTGACACCTGTGTGTGTGTGACACACCTGGGGACACCTCTGTGACCCCTGTGTGACACCTGTGTGTGTGTGACACACCTGGGGACACCTCTGTGACCCCTGTGTGACACCTGTGTGTGTGTGACACACCTGGGGACACCTCTGTGACCCCTGTGTGACACCTGTGTGTGTGTGACACACCTGGGGACACCTCTGTGACCCCTGTGTGACACCTGTGTGTGTGTGACACACCTGGGGACACCTCTGTGACCCCTGTGTGACACCTGTGTGTGTGTGACACACCTGGGGACACCTCTGTGACCCCTGTGTGACACCTGTGTGTGTGTGACACACCTGGGGACACCTCTGTGACCCCTGTGTGACACCTGTGTGTGTGTGACACACCTGGGGACACCTCTGTGACCCCTGTGTGACACCTGTGTGTGTGTGACACACCTGGGGACACCTCTGTGACCCCTGTGTGACACCTGTGTGTGTGTGACACACCTGGGGACACCTCTGTGACCCCTGTGTGACACCTGTGTGTGTGTGACACACCTGGGGACACCTCTGTGACCCCTGTGTGACACCTGTGTGTGTGTGACACACCTGGGGACACCTCTGTGACCCCTGTGTGACACCTGTGTGTGTGTGACACACCTGGGGACACCTCTGTGACCCCTGTGTGACACCTGTGTGTGTGTGACACACCTGGGGACACCTGGGACACACCTGGAAACACCTGAGACACACTTGTGTGACACCTGTGTGTCTGTGACACCTGTGTGACACCTGGGACACACCTGGGGACACCTGTATGTGTGACGTTGTGTGTGTGACACTGACGCCGTGTGTGCCATGGGCAGGGTGACCCCGTGTCCGTGTGACAGTGACAGCTGTGACACCGTCCCAGCGGGTGTGACACCGTGGGGGTGACACCACAGGGGTGACACACGGCGACAGGTGTGACTGACACAGCAGGGCCGGGTGACGCCGTCAGGGTGACACAATGGGGGTGACACCGTGAGAGTGACACAGCAGGGCCGGGTGACGCCGTGGGGGTGACACGAGGGGGTGACACGAGGGTGACACCGTAAGGGTGAAACCGTGGGGGTGACACGAGGGTGACACCACGACGGTGACACAGCAGGGGTGACACAGTGACACTGTGAGGGTGACACCAGGGTGACACCGTGGGGGTGACACAGCAGAGCCGGGTGACACCACGACGGTGACACCACGACGGTGACACAGCAGAGCTGGGTGGCACCGTGGTGACACCACGAGGTGACAACAGCCGCGGGTGGCACCGCCGGGCCCGGCTCCCCTCCCCCATCGCCCCCTACAGGCGCCCCCGGGGTGGGGGTTGGGCACAGCCGTCACCGTCACCGTGGCGACGGCGCCGCTGCCCCTCCCCCACCCGCTCCGTGGGGGGCCTGGGGAGGGGGGGAGGGGCCGGGGGCACCCAGAGGGGGAGGGGAGGGGTGACAACAGCCGGTGTCACCTCCCCGTGAGGGTGACAGGAGCCTCAGAGCCGTCACCGGCACGGTGACGTCGCAGCGGGTGTGTCAGTCACACCTGTCACCGGTGTCACAGCCGGGGTGTCACAGCCGGAGTGTCACAGTCGGAGTGTCACCCGTGTCACACAACCACGGTGTCACAACCGGTGTCACAACCGGTGTCACACGTTTCACACGGCGTCACTCGATGTCACACGCGGTTACAGCAGCGGGTGACACTGATGGTGTCACACAGACGGCGTCACCCTCACGGTGTCACCCCTTCCCCGGCGTCACCCCCACAGTGTCACGCACTCAATGTCACCCCCACAGTGTCACACACTCAGCGTCACCCCCGGTGTCACCCCCAACATGTCACCCCTTCTCTGGAGTCACCCCCACAACATCACACATTCAGCGTCACCCTTACTGTGTCACCCCTTCCCCGGTGTCACCCCCAACGGTGTCACACACCTGGCGTCACCCCCACGGTGTCACCCTCACGGTGTCACCCCCACGTCCCCGTCCCTCAGGGTGACAAAACCCCCCCAACCTCCCCCCACCCCCTCAACTTCCCCCAAATTTTCCCATCCCCCCCCCAC